GGGGGGGGGAGGGAAGGTGTCCTTATCTTTTATGAAAGGAAACGCTAAAGTTATTTGTAGGTGAAATTACTAAGAAATCTGGAATGTGCTTCAGAAGAAAAGGGACAGTGTTATAGATGAAGCAAGAATGGTAACACAGTGATCCCTGCTGAAGCTGAATGATGGGTGCACAGAAGTTCACTGTATAATTATCTCTATTCTTGGATAGGCTTAACATTTTCTATAACATACTCTTTTAAAAATATATTTCTTACCTTTGAAACTGTAATAGAGTGAGTTTAATTTATGGTAATGAACCACACTCTATTATATCCACCATGAGTAGGAAGGTAGGGGTGCTTTGTTGCTACTCATAATTGACTATAAATAGCTGGTCTGCTAGTTCTTTGTCTAATCATACTTTTCTTTCTTTTCCCTTTAATGTCAGGCACTGAACAGTAACCTCCTACCTCAAATAGCCTGACCTCTTTTCATACACAGTAAGCTTATATATGAATCCAGATGACCACACTTTCTAGAACTGCGTTTTGAATAAGAGTGCTCTGGAGTTAGACACAATGAGGACTTAGAGGCTCCTTCCTAGGAAGAAAGACTTCATAGAAGCAGCAGCATTTAGGCCAAACCTCGAATGACATAAAGATGGGGGACATGTGGTGACAGCCAAGTAGAGCTAGGGGCCAGCAAAGAAGCAGGAAAGTCCAGGGCAGGCAAAGAAGTGGGAGGATCTAAGTACCTTTCAATAAGGCTACATTACAAAGGATCTTGAATTCTTGATAAACTGTTTAGCTTTTATTTTATAGGCATCATGGAGCTACTCTAGATTTTTAGAGGAGAGTGACAAGTTAGAGCTGTGTTTCAGAAAGAACAGAAATCTGGTCATTTTCTGTGAGGGTTTAAAAGACGGAATGCAATGGGAAGGGAACGAAAGTGAATAAACAGAAAAGTCACCATTCCACGCAGTGCTAAGGACTGGAATGCTGAGGTCTAATAAGTTTGGGTGAGGAAACTTCTGCTCAGTATTACTCGTATTTTACCCCCAGAAAAAGCTTTTAGTAATACTAATTCTATTTTAAATCATTTCAAAATAATCTTCACTATAATTTTACCTTTACTCTTCTTCTCTAGCTCATTTTACCAGAATGCTTCAAATAGCTTTTCTTCTAGTAGAAATCCACAATGTGCCATGGCTGGTTTGGCTCAGTGGTTAGAGCGTCGGCCCTCGCACTGAAGGGTCCCAGGTTCTAGTCCGACCAAGCTCACGTACCTCGACGGCAGGCTCACCCCCTGGCCCCAGTAGGGGCTCGTGTGGGAGGCAACCAATTGATGTGTCTCTCACATGGATGATTCTCTTTCCCCCTTCTACTCTGAAAAAGCAGTGGGAAAAATATCCTCAGGTGATGATTAAAAGAAAGAAATCCACAATGGAACAGACCTAGCAGGAAAGCCCCATCTCCAGCTGTTCTCTCAGCTGCACTACAGAGGATCTACACTCAAAGCAAAAAGAGAAGCTGAATGACTGCCTTACAGAGCAGGGGTGGGGAACCTTTTTTCTGCCAAGGGCCATTTGGATATTTTATAACATCATTCTTGGGCTACACAAAATTATCAACTTAAAAATTAGCTATAAAAAAAGCTCCCAGATTTACTGAATTTCGAATCCCGCCTGTGGGTGCCTTGGCAGGGCCAGACCAAATAATTTCACGGGCCTTATACAGCCCGAGGGCTGGACATTCCCTACCCCTGGACCAGAGCAACTGCTCGCCCTCATCAACTCCACCTCTAGGTGTGGCTGCTTATTAAACAGGATAAAAAGGTGCCTGGAGGCACTGGGCTGGAGTATATCCTCTCGCCCCCTATCTGTGCTGTTCTGGTTTGGAAGCTGGACTTGTAAGACCCGTGAATGTACCATTTCTGTATTACAAAACTCGGTCTGACATCTCTGAAGCACCAGGATTCCACGGTTCAGTACAGCCTCCACCACCAGATGAAGCAGGCAAATGAATTCAATGCCATGGCCCACCTGATGACCCAGGAAATGTCTCCTCTGTAGCACAATGACTTAAGGCCATCATGAAGTACGGCTTTCTCAAATGATATTTTTAAAAGGACTGCTTTCCAAGGCTACTAGCATAAGCCACTCTGTTAGTCAGATTTTAAAACCTACCACACCTCTTCTCCTGAGAGAGTGGAGAATAGTGTACGTTGTGACACAGCTGTTGGTAGACCCTGTTATTAGACCTTCTGTTCACTAGCCCCAGCTGCTTGAGGTTAATAGTTAACAATGTAAATGTACTGCCTAAAACAAAACATTCCCTAATCTAGAAACTGCTTCTTTTGTTTAAGACCACATTAAATGACAGAAGTGCAAAAGCTTCCTCTTTTGTATTAATTCCCCCAACTAGGAAATATTAATAGGACACTGAAATCACATAAAACAAAGGATAAAAACAGAAATGCAAGTAGTTTAAAAAAAGAGCCAGCTAGTAAATGTGCGATGTCAGTCAAAAAATGCCACTATAAATCCTCAGGTGTGCATTTTAGTTTGAGCATTTTAATTCACAGTTTCCCAGGAAGTTGGGGCTTCGATTTGATGTTCTGCCTCAATTAACAACTGGCCAAGAAGCTGGCAGCTAAAGCACTTCAGTCAAGACACTGTTGTCTACCGTGGATACCTGTCATGGTCAAGATCTGATCTGAAAAGAGGCATGTGGTATGTGTGTGGGGGATGAGGAGAAGTCCCTGGTCAGGAGGCAGCATCTTTGCAATGGTTCCCTGTGTGTGGCTCATGGCAGAGCTTAAAGGGCAGGAAAGTGATGTAAGTGCTCAATTACAAGGCAGCAGCTCCAGTCTGTGAGGAACTGAGGAGGAAGGGGCAAAAAAGGACTAGTGTATAGAGTTTAGAAATCAGGAAAGAAATGTCCTACTTAGCCCGAACACTGTGAATGAAAAAGGGACTATGTAATAAATCTCGCAAGTCACTGGGGGGCCACATGGCAGGCCCAGCACACTCAGTGACTGAAAGTAACCACACAGGACGGTCTGATCATAAATTCCTAACTGAGTAGGCCATGGGGGTAATCACGTCCCAGGACTGTATCTTCTCTAGCAAAGGTCAATCTTTACCCTAAGTGAGCCCTGTTAGGCATCTAGGATAACATACCTTTGAAATGTCAGAGTAATTTTCTTTCCCTACCCCTTGAAGGCACAACCTCAAGCACCAGAGCAGGAGACCAGAGTTACCTTGTTGCTGTCACCTTATTTCCCCACATACCAGCTCTATGTGCTATAATGTTAATAATTAACTATCCTGTACCCACTGATGTAAAACTATGTGCTTCTCCATTTTGCCTTTTAACCAACCCTAGAGATTTCCCCACTTTGCTTTCTCCCGCCTCCTTAATCTACCACCAATGGGTTTCATGTACCTTTCTTATGTTTTCTCCCTCGATTCAAAATACATAAGATGAACTGCAAAGCTGCCATTCTCCAGGGCATTTTCTCAATTCATTGAGATTTTGCTTCTGGCATGTACTCAAAATTTTGGCTTAAATAAATTCTTATGAAACTTTTCTATAGGCTGGACATTCTCTCATCATTAGAGATCCCTAACCTGGCAGATTTCATTTCAGCACCTTAACTAGCCCTGTAAACTGTTTCTGCTTTGAATGACTCCAGATACATGGAACCCAAATCTAAGCAACCCACTAAGTTAGCAGGTAGCGTGGAATGATTTATTAAGAACTGTTCTCAAATTCACATTTTGAAATAACAAACCAAATTTAGCTTTTGAAATTCTAAATGTTGCTGGGTCGGAAAAGCTCAGTTTCCTTGAAGGCTGCAATCATAAGCAACAGCTAAAATAGGAAACGCAAGAGTACTTCTGGAGAAACTTTGGGATTGTCAACTTACGTTTGTAGCCTCCAGCAATGCCAGACTCTGTCAGGCATCTCTGCAGTTCATCAGCATCTATCTGTCCATCCTTTGGAAAACAAAATTAGGATGAGAAATCACAACAGTAAATTGTACCCTGTAGCTCTCTGTTTACTTTCAGTATTCAATGTAGTGAAAATAACCAAAAAAATGAATATTATCATGCATGAGACTTTTTTTTTAAGGGGACACATTTCAAACATAGGCATTCTTTTCTTCAACCTACTTCCAAAAATAATTTCATGATGAAAGAAAGGCAAATTGTTCCATTCTCTTCTGCAAAAGGATAATTAGGGCCATAAACAAAAAATGCATTTCTTAATATCAATTTCAGGCTCTATTTTAAATCATTATTACACAAGAACTGACAAAGTCAGAAAGCTGCTGACACTTATACTTTAGTATTACCAGTATCTTTTCATCATTTCCTCTAAATTCCTGAATTAGATTTGGCATAAACATTCTCAAGTATAAGGTTCCTCTCCTAATAAAACACAGTTGAATTTGGTTTCTTCCATTGATACTTGATATTTTTAAATGAATGAATAAAACTAGTTTCTGTCTTGAACTACTCTTCTGACTCTGAGGTAGGAGAGTGCCAAAGTTAAGCATTTTAAAATAAAGTAATTTACGTAGTTATTTAAAATCTTACTTCTCTTTCTAGCTTTTTGGGAGGGGGGAGCAGGGCACACAGCTAGCATCAGTAAATGAAAAGCTTGGTTCAGAGAGAGACCTTCGTGATCACCTTTGCTTGTGATGTGGTGAATGGTTTTTTCAGACCATAACTACATATATCTGGAAGATACAGGTTCCCAGTGCCTATTCATTGGCTGGCCTAGGTCAGAACTAGATATATGTTAGGGACTTAAAAATAAAATACCTAATTCCTCAAGTCCATAGGTTTTATAAGTTCTAAATGAGGAGGAGAGTCAACAATTTGAAAGATGATGGATATGCTGATACAGGCCAGGCTGCTGAAAGCTAAGCAGGTGGGGTCACTTACACGGCTGGAGGCACAGGCAATCTAAGAATGTGAGTCTTGAGCTTTGCTGTGTCTTGTGGTTTCAAAGATACAGATCATTAACAGATTAAGCAGATACTTAAAGGGAAGCTCTTTCAGGTTTAGACTCAATTTTCCACTCAGTTTCTCAAACTGTATTTCTTAGAGTGCTAGTCTAAAAGGTGGCCTTAGGCTTTTATCCCATATATTCTACAGCACTTCCACATTAAGATTGTGTTATTTCTAGCTTTTGATCAAAACAAAGCTAAGCTGAATTTATATGAGCAAACATCATCTGGACCACACCTGGGTTACACCAACAGAGCATTTACCATACACGGTGACCTCCTGAACTAGCCAAGTGTCCTCCCTCAGTGTACACCACCACTTGTCATACAACTCAGAATGTAAAGAAGTGCAAGGTCTTGGAGAGCAGACCTTCATCCCCTCTTTGGGTCTACAGGCCACAACACCTAATAAGGACACAGAAGAGCTAACCTAGTAACAGCATCTCCATCAAAGTGAAACTAAACTGTTCACAAGATTAACTTCTGATAGTAAAAAAAAAAGAGTAGTAACTTTCTTATTTTGAAGCTGGTGGTTTTTCCCATAAATACCTATTTCCTAAGGGGGTAATGGACTAACAGTTAAAGTCAACCCAAAGAAGGCATCCATTAGAATCTGGCTGCAGAATTACCAGTACATTTAAGTTGTACAAACCAGGGATTTATGTTCACCAGATCAGCGATTTCTTCTTTGGATACCACCCTGGACCCTCACAATTCAGTTCTAAAGACACCTTTCTACCTCGGGGATCTTCAGAAGGAATTCACAACCCCCCCTCTTTTGTTCAATAATGACCCTAATTCAATCACAAGTTTAGTTTTGAATTGAACTACCGTCAACAACACTAACACTTTATCCTAATTTGTTCTGAATATTCAGAAATAAGTAACTGACTATGAACCCCCCCCCCCTTTTTATTTGCAGAAGCAAAGGGATTCTTATCCGGAGGAAAGGTCGTTTTTCTGGCCACTATAATAAAAACGAATACAAATGTAGAATCTGATGAGTCTTTCATATGAACGGAAAAAGCTAACCTGTCCAGCTACTGAAGCAAAGTAACCATACAGCGGATCCTGCGTCTGTCCGGGAAACGCAGGCCCTCCCGGGGCCCCTCCGTACTGTAAAACAGAGAACAAGTTCAGTATCGCGCAGCTGAATCGAGTTTCCTTCTTTCAGCACCGAGCCTTTGTGCAAAGCCCTTCACTTCAGTTACCTCCCCACCGCCCGCACTGACTGCAATCACTCTGCCCCCTTCCTCCATTCTCACTCCAGGGTCATTTAAAAACTGGAGGCTTGGACCAAAATGAATGGTCCTGGCGGCGACTTGAAATCCCCGTTAACCTTCCGGGTGAGTAATTGCAACCCAGGCAAGCAATTTAAGAGCCGGCTTACACTTATTTTTACAGCGTTTTATGGTATTTTCAAAGCGTCTGGGGCAGGTGCAGCCGGGGAGGGGCAGGGAGTGTCCGGGCCGGGCGATTGCGCCGCTAGGGCACATTGTGTCCTGGAAACAGTTCCCACGACGACGCGCATCCCGGGCGCGGGGCGGGGGCGTCCTTCCGAGGACCGCACTCCGGCGGTCCTGCCCTGACCTCTTTTTCTCACTTTTAAAGGGACAAGTAGATGTCCGGGCCGTTCTAGGTGCAAATGGCTGTGGCTCTTGGGGAAAACACAGAGGGAGGGGGAGGAAGCCAACACCCAGTTGGCACAATTTCACGCCGCGTATCCGAGGGTCCCAAGGTGGGCTTCTGGGGTCGCAATCCACCCGCGCCTCGGCCCCGCGCAGCCCCCCGTGGGGAGACGGAGGGGACCGAGAGGAGGAGGGAGCCAGAGAAAGAAGCCGAAAGGTGTGGGGCGAGGCGGGGGGCAGGGAGAAGCCGGGGCGGAAGGCTCTCGGGGAGCCGCCCCAGCAAGGCCGCCAACGTGGCCTCTNCAACGTGGCCTCTCGGCGTCCCGCGTGTCCAAGGGTCGCGCGGGCTGCACTTACCCCGCCTGGGTAGTACCCGCCGCCGGCGCCGGGGTGCCCGGGATGGCCGGGGTGCCCGGGGTAAGCCATGGTGCAGACTGCGCCGCCGCAGCCCC